CTGAATCTCTGCAGCTCGGGAGATGTTGGTGGGTTACTAGACCCAGAGGCCGCCTCAGCCTCTCCTGACCCAACTGGTAGTGGAGCAGCTGTACGTGATTGCCCAGCAGAGGGCAGCGAGGTAATCCCTGCAGCATCTGGAGCCAGGGCAGGCTCAGGCCCCTGACTCGGCCCAGCTGGTGCTTGTTGCAGGGGAACCTGTGTAGACTGGGGCTCTTCAGAATCTGGCCCCTGACTTGGTTCAGATGCCGCCTGAGGCAGAAGATCTGGTGTGAACTGAGACTCCTCCAGTTCCAAGTCCGAGCCCGAGTCCCAGGTCATCACATGCTTCAACACGGGCTTAATGGCTCCTTATGTTACAGGAAGGGCTTTTTTCAGCCAGAACTCAGTTCCGGCACCTCTCAGGTGGGCGCCATTGCCATTATAAGAGAACAAGGGAAGCATTCATGGTGAGTTCTGGCCCCTCTTTGCCTAGAAAAAATAGCACTGGTTACATGAAAAGGGGTAGCTCAGTAGCATTACATCTGCCTTGCATGCAGAAAATCCCAGATTCAGTGCCTAGCATGTCCAGCTAGGAATGTCCCCAGTCTGAAACTCTTGAGAGCTGCTGCCAGTCTGTGTAGACAATATTGAGCTAGGTGGACCAATGTCTCTGATTCCATATAAAGCAGCTTCTTTTGTTCCTGGCTTGCAATGGAGCTGCTGTTTCCCATGGAAGCACCATGCTGAGCACTCCTGATAGGTCTATCCTATGTTCAAAGATGTAAACCTCACCACATACTGCCCCCCCACAGTCCAAAGTGGTACTGTCCAGTTTTACCACATGGACCTGCTAATAATGTAAACCAGCCTTTAGAGCGGCAGCCCCTGAGATTCCTTAAGCCTTTGATCCTGTCCCTTTAAGGAAACTCTGTCTGCAAGAACGAGCACGACCTTGAATTTGCAGCAACCTGGCCACAGGTGAATTTTGCTAATTAGCCTTTTAATTAAACTGGTTCTGTTCTGCTCATAAAGTCACCTTTGTTCTGCACACTGCTGTCTGTGTGTGTGGCCAAGGTTGTCCCCAGACCCTTCTCACAATAAGTGATGCAGATTACAATAGTCGCACCATATTTATAGAGTGTTTACAAGAGGAGCTGGAGGTGATCAATGACGAAAAGAGCACCCTCAATCATGGTGAGAGGGGTCGAACTCAAAAGCTGTGGTGATGGCTGTGTTCTGCCCTCCACAGTCAGAGGCAGCAGAGCTTCTGAATACCAGTTGCATACCCTCCAAGTCTCCTGATTTTCCAGGGACAGTCCCAGAATTACAGAAGCCATCCCCGTTTCTGATTTGATCCTGGAATGTCCTCCTTTTCCTTTTTCCTCCCCTCCACATCTCAGAGAACAATTAAAAGTGGGGGGTGTGGGTGTAAGTACAAAAAATGGAGTCCTGTTTATACTGAAAATAAAATACCTGCACCAAATGAAGGAAATAGTGAAGGTGGCATATGAAGCCCTTCTTAAAATTTTGAAAGAAAGGTAACCAATGTACTTCAGCAGCCATCACTTTCTTAGGAAATGCATGGGCTGTTGATTCCTTAATTGTAAATGGAGTTTTACAGTGTCTATTCAGACACTGGGACACTGGTGGCGCTGTGGTCTAAACCACTGAGCCTAGGGCTTGCCGATCAGAAAGTCGCGGTTCAAATCCCCGCGACGGGGTGAGCTCCCGTTGCTCGGTCCCTGCTCCTGCCAACCTAGCAGTTTGAAAGCATGTCAAAGTTCAAGTAGATAAATAGGTACCGCTCTGGCGGGAAAGTAAACAGCATTTCCGTGCGCTGCTCTGGTTTCACCAGAAGCAGCTTAGTCATGCTGGCCACATGACCTGGAAAAACTATCTGCGGACAAATGCTGGCTCCCTCAGCCTGTAAAGTGAGATGAGCTCTGCAACCCCAGAGTCGTCCGCAACTGGACTTAACTGTCAGGGGTCCTTTACCTTTACCTTTTTATTCAGAAATAAGTTGCACTGTATTCAATGGAGCTTTCTCCCAGGTAACTGGATAAAGAACATGCAGCCTTATACTGCAAAACTAAGCATTTTTACTCAGAAGACCCACTGACTTTAACAGGATTTAATCTCTGGTATGTTCCTGATCATTCTCACAGTTTCTTCTTCTTCTTCTTCTTCTTCTTCTTCTTCTATTATTATTATTATTATTATTATTATTATTATTATTATTATTATATCCCACTTTTTCCCCTTGACAGGGACTCAAGGCAGCTTACAGCTAAAACATTATTTCATTCCATTTATCTGTTGAAGGTGTCGTACATGATCCCTTTCTCTTCTCTTTGAGGTAGGTGGGGCGGAGAGGTTGTCATTGGTCCAAGGTGACAGATGTGGATGTTTATATGACATATATTTGTGCAGCGAGATCAAACGTGGGACAAATCTTCCTGATGTAGAATAGAATGTCCCTATTCTCACCTGAGAAATGTCGGAGGGCATGCAGTTGCTGGAAACCACAGTTGTGGAGAGGGCACTCGTGTATGAATCCTGCTTGCAGGTTTCCTATAGGAATCTGGTTGGTCACTGTTTGAACAGGATGCTGGCCTAGAGGGACAGAGAATGGTTTTCCTACAGATGCACTCACATGGCTTTCTACAATGCATCTCGTGGTTGCACTTTCACTATTTTTCTTTTTCACTCCTTCCATTTTTCCCTTTTTCCACACAGGATGGAATTGCTCTTCTGGGATTTCCCTCTTCCTTCTCTGTCCCTCACACCTCCCATATGTATTGTCCTATCCTGTTTAAGTAAAGGACCCCTGGACGTTTAAGCCCAAACAAATTGAGACTTTTAGAAATATTACATCATTATTCTTTAAGGTTATTTCTTGTGCAAGGAACATAAAGGTAAAGAGGTAAGGTAAAGTACCCCTGGACGGTTAAGTCCAGTCAAAGGCGACAATGAGATTGTGGCGCTCATCTCGCTTTCAGGCCAAGGGAGCTGGTGTTTGTTCACAGACAGCTTTCCGGGTCATGTGGCCAGCATGACTAAACCACTTCTGGCGCAACAGAACACTGTGACGGAAGCCAGAGTGCATGGAAATGCCGTTTACCTTCCTGTCACAGTGGTACCTCTTTATCTACTTGCACTGGTGTGCTTTCAAACTGCTAGGTTGGCAGGAGCTAGGACAGAGCAACGAGAGCTCACCCCGTCGCGGGGATTTGAACCATTGACCTTCCAGTCAGCAAGCCCAAGAGGCTTGATGGTTTATACCACAGTGCCACCCGAGTCCCTATCCTATTTGTAGACCTGAAGGCAGGGCCTTTGCTCCCACATTATTCTATGTGCACAGCATTATGTCTTGGAGGAAGAGAATGAGAAGGAAGAAGACAACTAGAGCCATCGCTCTGCTCTTCAGCAAAGGAGAGAGAGAGAGACAGCGAGAGAAAACATCCATAAAGCATTGGATGAAAGAATTATGCCAAGGAATAAACTGTCTGGCTTTGTTGACTGTATTAAAATTTAATTTCTATCACTTTGTGTGTGCAGTGATATTTTCCAGTTTCCACTGTTCTCCACACAGTATATGAATCTGAATTATAACATGATTGGTGTTTGTGGCTTTTCATTTTATTACTCAGTGCTATTAACATTTTAGCATCATATTTTACAAATCTCTTGTTTGCTCAGCACTGAGAGAGTATTTCAAAACCTGCCCCATTGTGTTTATTTCAAAGTTTTTCTTTTCATCTCAGATGTCACATCACTTAGTGATGCTTATGGCTGCCATAATAACAGTTGAAAGAGCAAAGTTGTGGTTTGTTTTGTTTTTACTGTTGTGTAAGTATGGCTTTTGTAAGAGTTAAAACAATAATAAAAGATTTGAGGGTGTGGAATGTTAGGTATCTAAAATTTCAGAAGAAAGAAATGCCTCCTCTTCTTTCATAAGAAGAAAAAGATTTTTCTTCCCAATACCATGAAAGTGCTGGAAAGGAACGTTTTCTGGAATAAAAAGTTACCCTGACTAAAGACCAGGAATGGTCATGGATGCCAGAAGGACTCCCTGCCAGCAGTGGGTGGGGCCAGAACTCAAAGTGGGCGGAGCAATAGTGGCCCAAATTGTGAAAACCTTTTGGGAAAAGTGTATTTCCGAGGTTTGATGGCTCATAACACCCGAATGGCTCTCTAAACACTCCTGTTCATTGGCTACATTCAGATGAAGGAAAGCTACTGTATATCAACCTAAGCAAGTTGTGCTTCCTTTTTCAGGTTATTTGCCTATAACGTTTGATAGAATACAGAGAATTGAACAAACTTTCTTGCATTGCATTCTTCATTAAATTATCTTTCCATTGATATATAATTTTATGGTATTACTCCCCAATAAGAGGTGTTTTGTTGTTGTTTAGTCGTGTCCGACTCTTCGTGACCCCATGGACCAGAGCACGCCAGGCACTCCTGTCTTCCACTGCCTCCCGCAGTTTCGTCAAACTCATGTTCGTAGCTTCAAGAACACTGTCCAACCATCTCGTCCTCTGTCGTCCCCTTCTCCTTGTGCCCTCCATCTTTCCCAGCATCAGGGTCTTTTCCAGGGAGTCTTCTCTTCTCATGAGGTGGCCAAAGTATTGGAGCCTCAGCTTCAGGACTTCAGGATCTGTCCTTCCAGTGAGCACTCAGGGCTGATTTCCTTAAGAATGGATAGGCTTGATCTTCTTGCAATCCATGGGACTCTCAAGAGCCTCCTCCAGCACCATAATTCAAATGTATCAATTCTTCAGTGATCAGCCTTCTTTATGGTCCAGCTCTCACTTCCATATATCACTACTGGGAAAACCATAGCTTTAACCTAGGACAACCCCAACCTCTCTCACCACCAAAGGAACACAAGTGAACAACACAAGCAACGCTGACACCAAACTCTACATACATTAAACATAATAGAAACACCGCCACCCGACGCCACCCCCATCCATCTTCCCTCTCTCCACCCCCCCTTTCTTTTTTGTTTTTTCTTCTCCCCCTAATGCCTCAACAAATGAAACGGATTTGTAAAAATGTTACATAAAAAAAAACAAAAACGAGGCACTACACTTCTGTAAAACAAGAAAATCCTTAATAAAATATTTATATGGACCTTTGTTGGCAAGGTGATGTCTCTGCTTATCAAATCTCAGTAATACACTTTCCCCCAAAAGGTTTCCACAATGTGGGCACTTGTGTATGTGACTTTTACCTTTGTACAGTAGGCACACTGTACCTTTGTTACACACACACACACACACACACACACCCTGCAGACACATCTTTCCCTGAGTATTAGACTGAAGGAAGTTTGGTTAATAGGAATAAGCATGAGAGATTCCTTTTTCCATGGCACTCAGTTTATGGAACAACTTCCCCAGGGGCTCTTTTGCCCCTAAATTCCCATCTTTTATGTGTATATTTAATAGAGATTTGTTCCTGCGAACGCGTTGGGATTCATCGTTTTTAATCATTTCTGTCTGCTCCGCATTGCTGTAATGATCTGTTTTTGAATTATATTTTAATTTGTCTTCTTATTGTCACCAAGTTGCATTTTCTTATTTGCTACCATGCCGAGGAAGGAAGGATAAAAATTTGATTATAAATAAAAATGAATTCAAGTGCATTAACTTAAGTATAAGGCTTTTCTTTCAGCTTCTGAAAATACTTATAGGAAACAATGCCCGTATACAGTCCCCCCCCCCCCCCGCAGAAACACTCTATGCACATACAATATAAAGGATACAGTTAAACATTAAGCAGATTTGTATAATAGTTTAGATTCTATCACTTACATGTCTTCTCTCCATCTTAACAGATTCTTAAAGTGACGGGAAAGCCAGCTTTTTCAAGGTTCCTGCATCTGTGTTTTTAGTCAACTTCAGTTTCTCATTTTGTCAGTTTCAAGTTCGGTTCATATTTCTGCATTACTGTGTAAAATTGTTTGTTTTTTAAAAAAATCAACAAAAATTCTTGAAAATTCAACATTTAAGGACAAATTTATCCTAATATACACATTTTGTAATAGATTCTCTCTCTCTCTCTCTCTCTCTCTCACACACACACACACAATTTTAGACAAAGTTGCATTTGCAAGCAACTTCGCCTAAAATAATCCATTTTTATATGTATGTTTTTTCAATTACATATGCATTTCTATGCACACTTTCCTCCAATGAACACACTTTTGAACACATTATTTGTGTGAAGAACTGAATCATTTTTTCTGTCAAAGTGTGAATTTCAAAGGATAACTGTGTTTCAGTTCACCAGTTGTAGCAGAAAGCATTGATATGGTAAGGTCACATTAAAATTTGAACTGAACCAAATTTCGCTCCCATCCCTAGTCCGGCATGAGTTATGCTAACATATTGTAACATTCATCTTTCTTCAGGGTATGTGGGGAGTGCAATGGAAAGTTCAGCTGGAAGAGATCACCAGCACTTCAGAAAGTATCTGAAATATTCAACATAATTATCTCACCTCTTGTTCATTGTCAAAACAGTACAACATCCTGATCTGCTCACTTGAATTGTCATTTAGTAAGAAGGTGCAGTGAAAAGAAACCCGGTTCCACCAAGAGGTAATTAGCTGTGGAACAATTCATTTTAGGAGACCAAATGTCAGTTTCATCAGATTGTGTTAACTGTCCAATTATGCAGATAGTCTTTTGTAAACATTTCCCCCTACCACCCCCATGTGTGCATCCCTTGAAACACTGTGACATCCTCTTTGGTGTCTCTTAATCCTTTTTCAGGACACGTAACATAACCAGAGCCAAAAACAATATTTTCAGTCTTCTACTTTCCACAGCCCAACTCTCTCTCTCTCTCTCTCTGGCTAGATTTCCTGACTAGTTATTTGTTTTCGCAAGAGGAATTAAACTTGGCATTCTCCACCTTCATTTATCACATTTTACTAGCATTGCCAGAGCCCGATGCAGAAACTATGCCTCTTACTTTAAGAGCTGAAGAATAGCGAGTCACTAGGCAAGACTGTGTCTCCTTCCCCAATATTACAGCATACCATTCTCCCATTCTTTGGTTATTGTTACCCATTATTGTGGTTGCGGTTGTAAATCCTGCATGGGCACATTGCAATTCTTAATTAAACATTTTAAAATCCAACATCCCATATATCACACAGAATAATTAAATAATAATCTCCAAGGAGTTCTACAATTAAAATGAGCATTCCAGTGCCAAAAATAAATCCTGCTTTTGCATTATTATATTGACTTAAAAGAGCTCAAACATACCCTAAATAACACTCAAACAGTGTGTTGCTGAGAATAACCACTCAGAAGCAAGCTCCATTCAATAAGTCTTACTCTCCCATAGGTATACATAGCTGGGGTCACTAACCTTTTTGGGCCCATAGGCACATTCGCAAACTGGGAAAACTGTTGTGGACAACACACACACGGCAACCTGCTGTATTGGGGACAATTGAATCTGCATTTCAAGACTAATTTCACTAAGGAGGAAGGATTGTGACAGCAGGGAAGTCCTCTGCAGACAAATGAGCACCCATGGGTTCCATGTTGGCATATAAGATTGCCTCCTAAAGTGATTTGCACACAGATTCTAGAACATGGTATAATTCAAATCTTTCTGAAACATACAACCTTTTGTATTGGATCCATTCTTCCGTTCTTCCGTGGGGAACATCTTCTGAGAGACGTTCCAACCAAGAGACGATCCCACTGGTGGAACAAGTGGGATCCTGCCACCTCTCTATAGCCCCAAGTACCTGCTCCCACACTGTCCCAGAAGGTTGAGGGACCTTCAGAACAATGTGGGAGGTGGTATTGGGGTATGCAAGGGAAAGATAAAATCTGGATCAAATCTATTGTCCCTGAATGTGATGAGCAACATTCCAAAATGTTGGGCACTGTGAGAACAAGTGCCATTGCCTGATCCATAGGCTTTTCTTAGGTTGAGGAAGGGAAGTTTCTAAAACAAGGGAGGAAAAGATGGCAGCTACACAACAAAGATGGTTTCCAGAATGTTCTGAGGAATCTCTTGACCAAGGGAATGTTTAATGCATCATTCAACTAAACAGACTACTTGGAGAAGGTGAAGTAGAAAAATCATCGTAACCACTTTGTAGCCAGAAGCATAAAAAATTCTCAAAATACTTTGGGAACCATATAAATGGTACCACTGTACTCTTTTCCCCCTATGGCTGTTATTTGTGTTTTTTTTTTTCTTTTGGAAGATATGACTATGGATATAGAATATGATGCAAAGTTTCAGAAAAAGTTTATTGGAAGATTATTATTTTTCTTACATTGGATGCTAGATCAAAGTGTGATTACTAGATCCCATCAACTCCAGCCAGTGTGATGAGGGATGATGGGAGCTGTAGTCCAACAATGTCCAGAGGGTCGCTACCCCTGGTTTATGTGGGGAAAAAAATCATATAACTATGTGCCCTGAAGTGTTGTAGTAGTAGTAGTTTTGAAGCATGTCATAAAGGAATTGTCATTTATTTGTTTAAATATTGATTCCCCACTTCCTCAGAAAGGTGTTGATGTAGCTCCCAAACTGTATGAAAATGGCCATTGCAGTAAACAAATAACATAAAAACACCAAAACAACAGAGAAAGCAGCATAATAAACAACAGTAGAAGATGAAAATACATTTAACGATAAAATAAAGCCATAGCAGAGCATTAAACTTCCTCACACCTTAAAGAACTCTAAAAGGTAGCAGCAATAAAACATTAACAGGCCAGGGTGGACCCAAACACAGTTTTGCCTGGTGTACAAATGGGTCCTAAGCTGCCCATTTGACATATTATGATTTTTTTAAAAGGCTCAGTACAATGTGAGTGTTAAAAACAGCAGATGCTCAGTTGCTAGGATTCTGCATCAAGGAAGCAAGTCCACAGCGCAGAGCCTTAATAAAGAAGTGTTTGTACTTAGAGGAGACTGTTATGTCGTTAATGGCCAGTTAAGAATAAATACATCCTCTCAGGCAATAAATATTGACCCTACTCTGTACCAAGGACCATCTAGTCCAACCCCATGCAATGAAACTATTTACTTCACCAGCTGGGCATCTAAAAAATAATAGAAGGAACATCAGTTTTCAAGGGAGTCAGACTATTCATACAATTGGTGTTCACAGATAGGCACATGTGGATGCTTAAAGGCCGAAAAGCTTGATGTCACTGTGACACATCGTATTCAGGGCTCAAACCGCAGGGAAGTAGAGAGGGACACCCTTCCAGCTATTGTTTTTAGGAAGCGCCATAATTTGGTTAAAATTGGGAGAAGTGGGTGCAACTCCTGGATTTCATTTCTGGACCACCCTACCTTTTCTCCCAAAAGTCAATGTTGGGTATGAACTAAGGATGGATGACTCTCTCAATTTCATATTCACTTGTTTTTGTTTTTACATTTTTTAGCTCTTAAGGTCAGTCTTCCACATTTCCATATCTGTTTGCATTTTTTTTAAGTCCTCAATCAAATTCCTCAGTACCCCCCCCCCCCCTTAAACATTTTACAGAGTGTGACTTTGGTAGATTCACCTTTACATGAGAACTGAATGACCGCTCCCCGCATAAAAACGGGGGGCGCCCTTTGCGTGGACGTGCGCAGCCCCTGGATCTGGAGCGGCTCCATCTGCATAGGCTTGGCTTCGCCTTCCCTCAGGTGGGATACCTGGAGGTCTCCGCCTACTTCAGTCAGCTGTCCAATTCCACCTGGGGGAAGCGTTGCCAAGGAGACCAGGCCAGGTAGGGGAGGGATTACCTGCCCACACAATAGAGGGAGGATCTTACCTGGGAATCCTCACTTGGCTCCAGAGCTTCTCCCACCCTACCCACCCTCAGTTAATGTCATGTTTTGCAGGTTAACATTTCTTCACAGGTATGCGGGCGCTGCATTGGCAGGTTTCGCCTTTCCCATAGCAAAACGTCACAACTTTGGCGGTATCAGGTCTTGGGTGGAATCCTTTAGTCTATCTTCCTCTTTGCAGCGGCGATACCAGGGTTCCCCGTTAAAGGGGTTTCTGAAGGGAGGCTTTGACCGTACGCCAAAAGGTCGTCATTGCTCTCCCCTGCGGCGGCGGCGTAACGGGGGCGGCTATCTCTGCTTGAACATATGTTCTCCAGAGCCGGCCCATTCCCCCCCACACACACTGGATAACCCTGATGCTCCCAAGGTCCCCGGCTGGGGACTGGGGAGGGAGAACGCCCAATGCCTGAGCCAAGGTCTATCCACATTTGAAATTTAATAAAGTTGTGGCCAATTTAATCCCATAGCACGTTGTCTTGAGTCGTTATTCCACATGACGGGGGGGATCTGGGGGACTCCGCCTGTCCACGCAATAAAATTTCTCCTCCATCCCAGGCTGCGATCTCCAGTGCCATGCCTGTTATGTTTTAGGAAGAATGCTGTGTTGCAAAATGGTTTGTAGCGAGAGCTTTCTCAGTTGAATTCAGTGAAGCAAACTCTGGGCAGAAATCTCAATAACTAGAATGGGAAAAGAGAGAAGATTGGACACTGGAGACACAAAGCCATGAGTAGTCTGTGCATTTCCTAAACAAATCTAGGAATATAAATGACTGGCAGCAATAAAGTTTCAATTTTTCATCATTAAACTATATTCTGATTCATTGTTATGCCAGCCGGGAAGTAAATTATGATCCACTGATGCATGGCAATAGCATTTTCTTGAGCAGCTATAAAACATGTTGTTTCCTTGATGCTTCTACATCTGAATATAGTATTATTTAGGAAGGAAGGGCAACCCCCCCCAATATTTCAAATATAAAGACATTATAGCTTGTTCCTGCAATTAGTGACCTATTCAACCTGAACATAGTCAACCAGTCTAGCATGGTGGTTTGCTGTACTAGATGCTTGAGGAGGAACCCTAGTTCAGTTCTAGGGCAGCCAGAAGATCAATACCTGGCATATCCAGATCAAGTGATACGAGAGACTGCTGCTAGACACCTTGGTAGACAATATGAGGCTGGATGGAGTCTTAGTCTCACCTGGTACAAGGCAGCTTCCTATGAACTCCATAGTGATGCAGGTCTATCTGAGCAACAAAAAATAGGACATTAGCTGTGTCCATTCTAGGAAACGATGGGCAACTGTGGAGATTTACACCAGTTCCTGAAATGGTGCACATCTCTCCCAGGTTTGAAGGAAGGTCAGAGAACCAGGAAAGTATTGGATCCTTGAGCCATTTCCTAGCCATGTCCCCAACCACCACCATCCCAACATGACCCCACTTTGCCCCTGCAAACATCAGGGTTCTGACATTGGTAGAGCCAGGGTGCATAAATTGCTGTGGCTATAGGACGGGACCGTAATTCACTGGGTGGATCCTGTAAAAGAACTGCCACTGTTAGCAATACAATGGGAGGAACTCAACATCAGGCTATTATGAGCACTCCATCTGTGCAAGCATTGCTGCTAGCCACATGGATTGATCCATTCTCTACACCCCCTGTGTGATGTTCTGGGGGTTCTCCCAACCCCTACAGAGCCAGTTGGAGGATCAGGGGTAATGAGATGGGAAAGCCTGTTTTACAAGTGGAAGTCCTTGCACTGACTGGGTTCCTTAGGTGAATCCTGCCCACAGCCTCATCCCTCTCTCTAAGGGCAGAGCTCTTTTTGCAGCCTGGGAGAGAGAGCTTTGATGCATTTTATGCCCCCTGGGACACCCTCCTTGGAAGATTACAGTCATATTGTGCCCCTTGTAGGCCACCATACATGCATTAAATTTGGTGCATCACAGACTGTGCTGCTTGCCATAAAAAACAAACATAGGCCACCAGCCTTGTATGTTCCTTGCAAGGACACGAGTGGCACTATGGTCTAAATCACTGAGCCTCTTGGGCTTGCTGATCAGAAGGCCGGTGGTTCAAATCCCCAATTGAGGGTGAGCTTCCATTGCTCTGTCCCAGCTCCTGCCAATCTAGCAGTTTGAAAGCACACCAGTGCAAGTAGATAAATAGGTACCGCTGCAGCAGGAAGGAATACAGCATTTCCGTGCACTCTGGCTTCCATCATGGTGTTGTGTTGCACCAGTAGCGGTTTAGTCATGCTGGCCACATGACCTGGAAAGCTGCCTGTGGACAAACGCTGGCTCTCTCGACCTGAAAGAAGAAGAAGAAGAAGGAGAAGAAGAAGAAGAAGAGGAGGAGGAGGAGTTTGGATTTGATATCCTGCTTTATCACTACCCAAAGGAGTCTCAAAGCGGTTAACATTCTCCTTTCCCTTCCTCCCCCACAACAAATGCTCTGTGAGGTGAGTGGGGCTGAGAGACTTCAAAGAAGTGTGACTGGCCCAAGGTCACCCAGCAGCTGCAAGCGGAAGAGCGGAGACACGAACCCGGTTCCTCAGATTACGGGTCTATCACTCTTAACCACTACACCACACTGGCTCTCAAAGACAGTGTGAGCACTGCAATCTCATCATCGCCTTTGACTGAGCTTAACTGTCCAGGGGTACTTCACCTTACCTTTTTACCTTTATGTTCCTTGCACAAGAAATAACCTTAAAGAATAATGATGTAATATTTCTAAAGTTCTTTAAAAGTCTCAATTTGTTCGGGCTTTTTCCCTCCCAGTGTTGACAGGGAGATGGAGGCAAGCGCGGTGGGGTGGGGGTGGAATCAGATGAATGGTACCATCTTAGTGAAGCCTTGCTGTGTTTTGTCTCGAAAAGCTTGACTGCTTAGATGAGATGTTGACAGGAGGTCAGCAACTCTCTGTGTACCTGTGTACACAAGAGTGGGCAGAATAAACTCATACTGTCATAGCTTGTTATGATAGATCTTTCTCGGTGTTTATGTCTGTTAACTACTCTTGTTCACATTGATCTTTGCAATACTCCAGAGATCTAGCACTTCAATTGTAAGAGGAAGTAAGAGGGGTCTATAAAGACTTTCAAGGGCTATGAAATTGTTACATTGGTTTTCTTTTAACCAAGAAAAAAACCCCAAACCAAACAAAAAACAAACCCCCACACCACACAACCCTCACTGACGTTCTTTGTGGGGAAAATAGATTTGTGTTTAGCTGGACATAATAGCGACAACATTTTGAAATCAATAT